ATGTCGGTTCTTATTATGGGCCTATAAAGAAAGTCATAGAACTCGATATTTCACTATATCAATGCATATAGATGGTATGAAAATATGTATGTGCTTTGTAACCGGAGAAAAAAACCTATAAAGATTGTATTTTAAATTTGATACGGCCTTAATAGGATATTGTTGTATTATTGCCAATATTAGCTTATATTATAGATGTCATGATCATCACAAAATAAATTATAGATTTGAATCTCTATAAAAAAAAGTAAAATATGAATAGATATACATTTTTTCATATTTTTCATGAATGTACAATAGTCTTTTTTCTACCGTTGCAACGCACGGACATATTTACATATTTGCTAGTCAATTATAATTATGGGTGAAAACGGTACGGATATTTTCCGACCATATTCGAGACCGAATCCGTTTAGAGGAGTTCTGATCTGTCCATATCCGAATCCGATTATTCAATATCCGATACCGCATCCGTATTCGAATACTCAAATCGCATATTTATGATGTCGATACCCAATCATATCATATCCGGCATGGTTGACACTATCCGTATTTGAATCCGAATCCGGACAAAAATATGAAAACAAATGTAATATCGATGATATCCGTCCATATTCGATCCATTTTCATCCCTAATTATAATAGACAATGTCGTCAGCACATGTCTGGACCATCTCTTTCTTCAATATCTTTCTGACCGTGCATGCTAGAACTTTGTTAATATTCATTTTGATGGTAATCTTCAATGGCCCTGTTCGCTTGAACTATTATCAGCCTCGCTTATCAGTCCATAGTACAGTGTTTTTCTCTCACAACAAATCAGCGAACAATACTTTTCAGCCAGGCTTTTCAATGAAACGAACAGGACCGGTTAAGAGTCCCTTTCTTCATGGAGATTATTGTTGTTCTTTGCTGGAGTGTTTGGCTAGTTCATAATGATGCCATCTTTCAACGAATTATGCCCATAGTGGAGCAAGTCAAGTGTGTCTTCAGGAAGGTGTTTTCCATGGTTATCCATCTGGCAAAATAGAAATACTTTCCCTATATTAGTTTATGGCAAGAAGCTTGATTGTAATATCTCTCATTTTCTTTGTTTTTTTTAACTTCGTTCTCTTTCTACTCTTGTTTTTACTTTCTTTAATAAAAGCTCAGTAGGGGTGTTTTACCCCTCATTTTTCCGCAAAAATGTCGTTCCTTAGATTCTTTATGATGTAACTTATATATTTGAGTTTTACCCCTCCTTTATGTTCTAATCAACATCAACTTCGGCCTATATTGTGTTTCATAAAAAAAGTATTTGTATATAAAAGGTATGTGAAATACAATTTATGAATATAGTTTTTAAACATAACATAGTACGGAGTACATATAATTTGACTCTTCAAATCATAATAAGCAACGTTGAAAAACTACCGGTGTAAACTTTGGTTACTGGAGGAACCATCCACTGCACGAGGAAGCAAATCAACTCTTGCTCGGTCATGTTTCAACCTATCAATTAATTTGGGTCACTTTTCGAGAGGCCCAAGACTAAACTTGTACGAAATCGAGGTAATCACGTCAGAGCACGTTGATGCATGAACTGGAACATCGTGCGGGCTTGGCTCGGCACTTTGACACGTGTAAGATCGAACATCTCACCGGTGCAGAAGCAGAAACAAAAAAAATTGCAGGTGAGCGGAGGCACAAGCCATGAACAGGATCTAGAGGCACGACACATATTGCAGACAGTGTGTAAAATAAAAACAGGGGGGCAGCCGCAGATTTTGGAATCGACGCCAAACAAGAACGTTGCGCAATCGTCAGTTGAGTTTTACCTGCCGTGCCGCCCTACAAAAGTCAACTCCCTCCTATTTGCCGTCGTCCCTCTAGCCGTTGGTGCTTGTCGGTCTGGTGTCCCGTGTCCATTGCTGGGGCAAAGCCGACGCCAACAGGGCTCCTCGTCGTGGCCCCCATATGGGCCACAGTAATGGAGGATCCAATTCCAGTATATAGAGCACTCCCGTACTTAAGCACAGGTTTTTGGGAATTTTTCTCTCAATAATTGAAACTTCATTGTAATTACGGAGAAGACTAATACAAGTTTTTAACTGCTTTTATGCAATTTAATAAATAATTTATACATGTTATTGTATGTTTTTACTCATACGAATTGGCATTTTTCACAAAAGTTGAGTTACAAACGGTTAAACAAACATACACAAATGGTTACCTGATGGTCTGTGCAAGCGATTTTTGTGAGGTGGACATTTGGACATTTAGGTTACCCAAAAATTGTGTTTGAAACCTGACAGATGAGTCTTCTCTACAGTACTACTAAGGGACTTGCAGTGGCTGGCAAGTGGGGCCTAATTTGCAAAGTCATTGTGTCCCTAGTAATGCAACCGGCCTTTTTATTGTGCCTGCTTCCTGCCAAATATTAGGGTAGATAGGCCGCCTCACTTGCCAATGAGGGGCGAGCTCTTACCAACTACATGCATCTAGGCGTTGCTAGAGCCAATATTTGATCACCAATCTGCTACCTTAACCGCGGTCTCCAGTGCTACATAGTGGTAAGGGAGGAGGGAATGAAGTGGCTAGGTGGAAACATAGAACTATGGAAGGGAGGTAGACATAGTGGCGGAAGGGAAGGAAGTAGTGGTCTACCACCACACGAGAATCCTCTGTTGTGAGCTGAGAGGGGAGTTCTATGTAAGTTGTGTGTAGTATTTGGTTTGATGTGGGCATGCTTAGATGGATAATGGGAGGTGGGGCACAAGAGTCCAAGATACATTAGATTGAAGTAAGATGTGATACATAGGTCTTTCTTTTAACTTGGCTCCATTTGGATATTAGAGTACCTATCTGTAAAATTTTCTGAAATAATTTTAGATATGTAGACTTCACAACCGAAGAAACTCGATTTTTTAGGTCGATCTTTGGTTTTCTAGGTTTAGATTCGGCTTCAATGTTCGAGTATCAGGCGTAATTAACTCACAAAGAAATCGTTTCATTTACTTTCCGCATTTCTTTGTTTCGGTTTCCTAGATTATCCATTTTAAATTAGAATTTCTATGTGCCTAAAGGATACTCTTATCAACTTAGCACATGAGTGAATTTGGCAAGTAATAGGTATTTCCGTGAAGACTTTATACAAGTCCAATTCACCTTTCTCTGCATGGTATCTTGATTCTTTCAAGAAGGCATGCAGTATATGATAATTTGTCATATAATATAGCTGTACCAAAGTGACACAGAACTAATGGTTTTCGGGCACTCCCAATCAAGAAACTAGATGGTTTCTATCTTCATTAAATAGGGTGCCAACTAGGCAAAAAGATGACGTGGCACTGCAATTAAAGAAGAGAGATGAGGAAATGGTTTCTTAGAGAAGAAACCATGTCTACGCGAGAACCAAGACAGATGTGATTGGTAGGTAATGAAGAGAGAAGACATGTGATTAGACAAAAAATTATTGTGTAAAAATTATCTATTGGGAACATAGTTTCTACATGTAGTGTCTTCAATAATTAATAAACATAGAAACTACCAGTGGTTTCTAGCATTGTTCCAATGCTAAAACCATATATAGTTTCTATGCATATAGACACTACATATAAAAACTACGTCCTCAATGGATATTTTCTACAAAATAATCTTTTGCCCAATCACATATTTTCTCTTCCTCATATACCTATCATATATCTTCATGTCTTTTCTCGTGTAGACATAGTTTCTTATTAAGAAACAATTTCCTCCTCTCTCTCCTCAATAAATCGCTTGTCACATCAGCAAAATACTTAGATGACAGGATAATTAATGCATATAGAAACTATGATAGTTTCTACATTGTGAGTGCCCTTAGGTTACATAAACCACATTTCAAATTTCCATTCAAGTTTCTTTTAGGCGAGTAGGCAACTGAGATAAAGGTTAATTTGCATGTAAATCCCACCTAAAAGTACACCGACAAAAAACCCATTTGCGTGTGAACTAGGTGTGACATTATTATGCTCTTAGAAAATCAACTAATCCAACACAACATAACACATCTTTCTTTATCAAAAAACGAATACAATGAATCTTTAAAAAAAAAAAACGAAGAATATTAGACATTATGCAACTTATCTAATTTTCACGAATTCAATTGTGTTAGGACAGCAAGAAGATCCATCCACTGGTCCACCCCAGATGATGAACTAGCTAGCACAGCTAGTACTTCTAATTGACTCTGTTGCAAAATTTCCTTATCTCCCCTTGGCTGCCGGTGAGCACGTCGAGGTGGCCCATCTTCACCATGGCGGACGCAAACCGCGAGGCCCAGAGCGTCCGGTTGCGCGCGTAGAGGTCGACGAGCGCCGCCGTGTCGTTCCGGCTGAGCAGCGTGACGTCCGACGTGAAGAGCACCTCGCGCGTCTGCACGTTCTTGTAGTACTGGTTGTCGAGCCGGAGCTCCGTCCTCGGGTCCAGGTCCACCACCCGGTCGCGCCGCCCCGTCGCCGCGGGGCACCGCGTCCGGAGGTACCTGCCGTAGGTGGCGTTCATGTCCTCGGCGATCTGCGGGTACAGCCGGAAGGAGAACGCGGAGCAGTGGGAGCGGCCGAAGGAGTGGGCGCCCGAGAGGGCGACCATGTCGTCGGCGGTGAGGTTCTTGGCGGCGAAGCTGTCGACGAGCACCGTGGCCTTGTCGAAGGGCCCCGGAAGGTTGTTGAGCACCTCGGACGCGTTGGAGACACGGCCGTCGCGTCGCCCCGCCGGCATGACGAAGTCGACCCCGCCCATGAGGCCGCAGGCGTCACGGGCCGCGAAGGCGACGATGTCGGCGCAGGAGACGGTCCTCCGGCACCGGCGCTCCAGCACGCGCTTCGCGCGGTTGATGACGCTGAACCCGCGGAGGCTGGGGTTGTTGGCCTGAGACGCCTTCTCCACCGTGCTGGCGTTGCTGCCGGGTGCCGCATCCAGCAGCACGGACGCGTCGCACCCCTGCAGTGTGGACGAGTTAAGCTTCGCGCGCTTGTTGCCTAGAGGCTAGAGTTGATCTGTTTGAGTAGATGCATGCCAACGGGCTTGTTGCTTACCCTGACGAAGCAATCGTGGAAGAAGAGGCGCACGAGGCCTGGTCCATTGCCGGGGTCACGGCGGATGGCGGCGTGGACGACGTTGCGGATGAGATCCTCTGCCCGTGGGCAAGTGCGGCTGTAGTAACCGACTTGTAACGGGGCCTCCGACTCCGATGATGCGACAGAGGAGACGACGATCCACGACAGCAGGATGGTAAGAGCAGCAAGCTGAGCAACACGAGTGCTGCCTCTCTTCATCTCTGGTGCTGTGGAGTATGTCAGGATCTTGTTCCTGCTGGGGTTTTGTGATACACGGCAGTGGCAGTGCTCGATCATTGCGTCCCTAGATGGAGGGAAACAAGATGATGGCGATAATTTATATAGGCCAATCGATGAAGCGATGCACTCACCGATTGTGTTTCCTAGGCTACACTAGAGTAGACGAACGGAGCAAACAACTGAACAAGAGTTGACCTGCACATACAGAGTAACGGGCCTCAAGGGGTACTAGTTCATACCCCTTCAATCCTACAATCACCTTAAGTTAAACTATCCTAAATTTGACTAACATTATTGAAGTTTGTAACAATATTTATAATATCAAATTAATATATTATAAAATGTAACATGCCTGCTTTTGTAAACTAGCTCTCCTTGGTGGCTAATAAAAATGTGTAATATAACTCATTCTGAGCTCTGCATGAGCTCTAGCTTGGATAGACACATCCTCTCTTGAGAGTTTTATTCCTAGAGGAGAACATATTGGTAATTATTAGCAAGGGTTTTGATTGAAAATTAAAGACTTGTTAGTGCATGGTGTGAGTAAGAATATGTGCATTATTCTCTCAGATCAATCCTTATTACTCCAAGTGATTGTGGCTCGGTGATCTTCCACTTAAACTATGTTTGTTGGGAGGCCACACAAGTTATGTGCTTGGTTTGAGACCCGCCAATTCTCACATGGGAAAAGGGTACTCTTAGGGCGTGATTGGTTGCTCAAGGGTCAGCGAGCCGGGATGGAGTGGCTGTCCAGGCTCTTTCCAGCCATGATAAGACTATGCACTTTGTTGTGTTTGGTTGTCTTTGTTGTTGGTCTAGAGAGATCCCGCACGCCATCAAAGTTTTGAGTGTCTGACACATGGGCCCCTGCACCAAGCGTGTATGAAGCCATCCTGGCTCGCGAGGGAAGGTGAAATTGAGAAGACGGAGGCGTGCTGGATGGAGGGGGGTTGATGAATGGAACGAAGCAGGCAAAACGTGCGAGGAGGGGAACTAAACATGGCCACAGTGCACCACTTGGTGCCAGATGGGGCTCCGGACGGCACGAGCAGGGCAACCAATCACGCCCTTAGTGAAGCTCGGGCTTCGTTGTGGGAGTTCCTGCGTGAACTAGGGGATGTGGCAATGCATTAACACCATTGGTAGAAAATATCTAGTATCAACATCTCCATTTACTTATTAAACTTAATTTCATGCATTTCTTGAGACTTCCTAATGCTTTTGTGCTAGAAGTAGTTGTTGAAATACTTTAATCCTTTATTATTGGTAGAGTCCCGCAGCTAGCATATTATGTTTCCTTTCTTGTATGTGAGCGTCTATTACTAGTTTAAGTTTTTTTTAAGGACATGACTTAGTGTGTTAGCGCTAATAAGAAGCTCGTCATACAAAATTTGTATTGTAAGTAATACTTGGAACGTTAATGAAGTATGTTATACTAAGGTTTTAACTTGTGCTATAATTTTTCTAAAGCTCAATTCATCTTCTTTTGCTATTTGATACGATGGACTCTTCGTGTCAATGAATACTAGTTAATAAACAAATACTCCCTCCATCTTAAAAGAGTGCACTTTTAGATCCGGTCAAAGTCAACTTATTTTAAGTTTGACTAAATTCATAGAAAATAGGGCTCCCGTGTTCTTAACCTTGTTTTGAAGTCTAATTATGATTTTGCCCATTCTTTTCCAAACAAGAATTTACTCCTGTTCGGTTTAAATGAGTTAATAACAGTGTCAGCTCGGCTAAAATAGATTAGTTTTCCCATATGAATTTGTCAATTTCATCTAGTTTTGTTAGTACTCTGTCATATTTACATATGTTTTGACATCAAATATTTGGACTACATTTTGAAAGAACTTTTACAATGAATTTGCAAATATGTTAATATAAGTGAAGTTTAACAAGTTACACATGTTTAATTGACCCTGCAGAAACTTGGGGCTTATTAGGATAAGGTGAGGGGTTACTATTGTATTTAATTTTTATTTTTTCTCTTTCTAAAATTTATTTAATGGCATTCAGCTATTAGAGTCTAGGACAGGTGAATAGTGATTTTAGATGTAAAGCGAGGGTATCAAAATAAAATTAGAAAAATTAAGGATAAAATCATAATTGGCCTTCAAAAAGCAGGGGCAAGAACATCAATCTCCAAATATATAGTATCAATAAATATAGTTCTAAATAGATATACTACAAAAATATATTCCGTTAGAAATTTGATGACATTTATTTAATTTCATAAAATATGGGTATTTTTTGATACGGGAGTCGAAGATAAAGCTGGGCAAAGCGGAGCCCCTTGGAAAGAGTGTGTCGTGTCAACTGTCAAAGATAGACGTTGTTTCGTGGGCAGTCGTGCCAATTTTGCTCTGCAGCGTATGACTTGCCGGATTCTGTGATTCTGTTTGCTCGTTCTTCCCTATCATTCTTCTCTTGCAAACGGTCGAAGAAATACTGGAAATCGTGCTTCCACTGGCACGCGTGTGCAGGCCATCTGCTCCAGCGTCCACAGTCAACCCCGTGGAGATCGATCCCCGCCGCGCCGCGCGCAAATGCCGATGCTGCACATTGGGATCGGATTTCCAGCTGCTGTCCGAGTTCCGCGATGCGCTGCCGACCTACAATCTACAAACACACAGCATGAACGGCACCGCGCTCTTCTCACTTTTTTGCCAACCGGAACCGAACAAAGGAACACAAATAAATTTCGCACTGGATTCAGTGTCGAATTAGACTGCGCTTTCTAAGATGGGCCGCTTCAATATATAGCTGGGGATGCAACTCGCTTTTGTATTTTTAAATATGGCTTCTTTAATCACAGATATAAAGTAGTTTATGTCTATGATAGACTGAGGATGACAAACAAAGATAAGCTAGAATAGAGTTGCACATAAGTTAAATCATCATGTTTGTCGTGACAATATGATAACTATGTGGTTATAGTGGATGTCCCTATTGCATTGTATCGAGTACCATATGCTAGAAGCTGCTTCCTCCGTCCCGTATTATAAGTCGTTTTGATTTTTTTAGGTTCAACATAGCTTTTACATAGCAGCTTCTAGCATATGAATTAAAAAGGGCAAAATGACTTATAATTTGTAAGCAGGAATAGTAATAATTACTTTATCCATTCGAAATTATAAAACGTTTTGGCTTTTTCTAGATTTCTGGATACATAGTTTTTGTTATGTACTTAGATATATACTATGTCTAGATACATAGTAAAAGCACTAATGTATTTAGAAAAATCAAAACATATTGTCTTACAATTTGGAATGGAGGGAGTGCATCTTTTTATTACTAACCGAAGGCCCCTGAGCATACAAGTGAGTGCTACAAGTGGTATCAAGTGGGTACTACAAGTGGTATTAAGTTGGGAAAGAATTTGGATGAAATGGTAAGGCACATTTTGAATGAATGGTAAGGCATCCAATGAAGTTTGTAGTAAGCTTAGTGCATGTATACTTTAGTTGACTTTATTCTATTACTGCATTTTATGCTTCCTTTGATTGTGTTGGCATCATCACAAAATGGAGAGTGATAGTAAGAATGATGTGCCCTTTTGCACGATTAAGTGTGGTTTTGGTGATTTAGATGACAACATAGTCATTAGGACAAACATGTGGGCTTCGCATTAGGCCAGGAATAGTGTATGGCCTTGTTCTTTATGCACGAATGCATCGATTAGATGAGTGCACAACACTAATGCAGTACATTATACTAGTTCATATGGTTGAAAATCGTGTTAGAGATGTAAAAGAACACACTAAAAAGAATGGAAGAAGAAAAACCATAGATTTAGAATGCATAGATAGAAGGAAATTATGCAAGCGAGCACACTACAAATCCAAGGAAAGCAAACATCACATACACATATAAGATGACACAACTGCTAGTAAAAGCATAAGTATAGCAGTACACAGTACCACAACTTGTTGCAAAGGTGTATGGCTGCTGGCCATAGAGGTAGAGGTTGCGGGAGAGGGAGGGAGGAGAGAGAGAGAGAGAGAGAGAGAGAGAGAGAGAGCTACAACCAAACAATAAAAACATCACACAGATCAAAACTGAGATCATTGGATTTTTTTTTTCAAGAAACCAACAAAGCAGAAAATGGGTGAATAAGATGAAAAAATAAAAAAGAATAGAAAAAAGGAAAAAAGACAAGAATTATAGGAAAAGCGAGAGATCGATAAATAACCAAGGTCTCAAAATCCCAAAGTGGAGGATAGATGGATGGAGCACACATTTTCCATGGTGCTCTAGCCCAGAGCAAGAAGAACAAAAAACAAGCAGAAAATTTAGCATCTGCCCATCCAGCCGGAGAACACAATCTGTGGATCAACCAGCTAAAAGAATAGAAGGAAGTAAACACAAAGAGAAGGAGAAGAAGAATACAATGCAACGCAAAAAATCATAACTTGTACAAATCGAGTCGGGCGAAGACAAACTTTATATCAAAATTGTAGAGCTAGAACAGATCTACAACTTTGTATATGACAATTTTTTCATTTAAAATCATTTAGAGTCCAAAAACTATGTTTTAAATTATCATAGTATGAAATTCAAATTTTTCAGTTTGTTCAAATGACCTCGGATGGAGATACGACCTAAACCAAAGTTGTACTACTTGGTGAGATCTAAAACATTTTAGTTTCAAACTTTTTTATATAAAATCATTCAGGTTTCAAATATTAATTACAAGATTCAATATTGTGAATACAAAAGGAAATTCAATTAGTGACAAGTAACTTTTGGGTGGAGTGATAGGGGAGGCTCGTGTGAGGCCTCAAGTTATGATTTTGATTCCTGGTCACTGTACACACGTGTATTTCACGCAAAAAGTTCGTGACTTGTGACTTTTAGCATAGTCACCAACAATTGTCCACTACCATTGTAGAACTAAGAGAAACATAAATATCCATGTCAAAACTAGGGATGCAAGTGGGCTTGTCCGTGAACCCGAAAATAGGCTTTTTTTAAAAGGATCAGCAGGGGAGCCCCTAAAAATAGGCTTAATTTTGCAAATTCACGGAACATTACTAATTTAAGCACCGAGTGCT